TGGGGCGACCCCTCCCCCACCACTCAATCACTCACTCACTCAATCAATCAATCAATCAATCAATCAACCAACCAATCAATCAATAAATCAATCAATGTGGGGGGGTGACACGCCCCCACCAATCAATCAATCAATCAATCAATCAATCAATCAATCAATCAACAGAAAAAGAAAAGCAAAATCGAATGAATCTTCCGCTAGAACATGGGAATATACAACCCTACCTGTGTGTGTGTGTGTGCGCCTGTGGGGCCAATCAATCAACCAATCAATCAATCAATCAATCAATCAATCAATCAATCAACCAACCAATCAATCAACGAAAAAGAAAATAAAAATGTGCAGTTTTTTTTATTCTTTTTTTTTTTTAATACGTTCACCCACCCAAAAACCCTGACACAAAAATTAGTTTTTTTTTTTTTTTTTTTTTTTTGAGGGGGTGGGGCTGGGGATGCGCCGCCCCATGGCGCTTTCCGAATCCCCAACCCCCCTCCCCACCGACAGCCACGCGTCCGCGGGGGTGGCAGACTCGGCCGCGTCCGCAGATCGGCCGCGCTTGTCCGCCACCGAGGGTGTTTCGTAGACTCCGGCCAGACAAAGCTCATGCCACGGCTGTGCGGAGGGCCACAAACCTTCTTCTCTTAATCTCTTCCACCTATTTTACTTTAGTACCAGCAAAAAAAAAAAAAAAAAAAAAAAAAAAGGGAAACAAATTCTACATGTCCGCAAACCAATATACTCAATCACAGAAAAAAACCCGAGAAAAGTAGGCAAGGCGATTGCCCCGGGGGACAATCCACTGTTGCAAGTGCCGCAAAAGCATCCCAATGTGTAGTAAAGTACTACATCGCCTTCCTTGTAAACCCCTTTCGCTGCACACGGTGCTCCCAGTCAGCCTGTATCGCCTGTTTGATGCCATATTTAACCTTTGCTCGAACCATCGGTGGCATCAGTCTCTCTCCACGTCTGGTTGCTGAGTTCCTCAGCGTCCAAAGAGTCCACAGTATTGCCCCCTTGAGTTTCTTTTCCGCATATGTAAAATTCTGCGGGAAAGGTGCTCGCCTAGCCGCAGTTCCGATTAGTAGAAATTGGTCTGTCCATCCGGTACTGTTTCCAGGGACCGGGATTTCCGAATGTCTCCACCAATCCCAAAAAGGCCGAGTAACATCACAATACAGCACAAAGTGTTGCAGATCTTCCATCTGAGTCCCACGGCATATCTGACATTCTACCTGTGCCTTAACAATGCGTTTTGCGCACCAAACCCCCAGCGGAACTGCTTGGTGCATCATAAGCCAGAGGAAACTAGCATGTTTAAAGACAACTAGGTCCATCAGATTCACCCAGAATGTGGGTATCACTTCCAGCAATCTTGTCAGCGAGTCTGCAATCCATCCTATTGCCATTCATCTACGACTCGCCGTCCAATTGACATCAACCTGAGGGGTGGAAAGCAAGTATCCCAATTTGGTCGAAGAGTGATGCACCTGAAACCATTTGATTTCCGTGCAAGGGGTGTTCCCAAGGCCAATCCCGGGGATCTACTGACAACAGGTAAGAGGGTTGAGACAGGCAGAAGGGGCGATAACCTATTGCAGTTTCCAAGACGTAGACAGGCACAAGGGCATGGGCAGGCGGCAAAGGCTCTTGATCCAAAGCAAGTGTTAAAGTCGTCCCTAGAACAAGGAAGTCATCTTGCACCCCCCAGCAGGAGTGAGGAATTTGAGCCTCCTTTGAATAGCTTTCTATTTTCCAGATTTGCATTGGTCGTTCATGGTTCGAGTGCTTGTACCATATATCCGGAGCAGGAAGAAGACCTGCTCTTAATATCCCCACCCAAGCAACCGGGATTGCTTGCTGTAGTTGTTGCAGATGACTCCGTTGGTACCAGAGACCAGAAAGCGAAGGCGCCTGCGTCTCAAAAGGTTTCCAATCAGTCGAGACAAGGTCTCATATATCATCCACTGTCCCAATGCCTCGTGCCATCCAAGCATTACCAAAGGCTTCCGGTCCATGAGATTGGAAAGGGAGTCCCTGAGCAGTATAGATAAGCGGGTTATGGAACAAAGGTTGAGTGAGTATCCGCTCCATGACCATCGGTGACAGTTGCAAAACAGGGGCAATTTGTTTCCAAGCTTTCAATATACCTCCCCATATGTCCGGTGGCAGCCTTTTTCTGAGATACGAGGCAAAAAGGGAAGCTAGCCAGACATGTTTGGTGTTCTTCCATCCCCAGATTGACAGAAGAGCAGCATCTGCCAACTGTTTCCACGCAAGGGTGGAGTCAGCCTGCAGAGCCCACGGTATCCATCTTGCCAACAGCGCCGCGATTTGCCTCTCTGGTCCAATAAAGCCAGACCTCCCTTTCGTTTGGGCTGTGTGACCACCTCCAAGGCCACTTTCAGTAAGTAATTGCCTTGATTCATTTCTTCTTTCCGAAGGTAGTGCGTAGCGAGGT